TTGCCCTAGTTGGGGAGCAGGTATTTATTTTCGAGGTTTGAATTCTTTGGGTAGATATATCCGGGTTGGATATATTTGAAAGAGATTTTTCACTAATATTCTGTGGGGTTGGGTGTATATTTTTGGAGAAATCTTTTGGTGAAACTTTAGTTTCAATAGGGATATTTATTTGCGGGAAAGGTTATTTTGGATTGTAGGGGTAATTGGATTGTTTGGGGGGTGTTGGTGTGCGTGTAGGGTTTACTTGATTTGTTAGTGTGATAGGTGTGGTTTAGGGTAGGTTCAAAGGTTAGTGAGTCTGAGAGGACAATAAAAGGATTGTGTGAGGGGATGTGAAATGTGGTCTGTGTTTTGGTGGTGCTTTTGCCACATTTTTTTGTTGAGTCATCTTCAGCCACGTCAGGGGATGACGTGGATCCCTTACTTATAGGTGTATTCATGTGCTCGTTTTGTGGAGGTGTAGATTCCACATGGCTATTTGGACTTAAATGGAGTGACTTGAAATTAATGGGAGATATTGACTGAGGTGTCTGGTTACTGTGTAATATTTTTGGGGACTGGGATTGAGTAATCACGTTGTTTAATCGTGTTGGTGCTGTAGATGTATCTTCTACTCCGATGGTTTGATTTTCCCCATATTTTTTGGCTGTAGAGTTTTCTTCTTCATATTTTTTGATGATGTTGGTAGGAGTATTGGTGTTTGGTTTTTTTCTTTTTTTCTTCTTCCTCGTTTTCATCATTTCTGTTACTTTCTCTCTCTTCATTATAGTCAACGACTGGTACTGGGAGGGGTTGTTGATGGCCGACCTGCTCTTTTCCCTTTTGGGGGGTATACCACTATTTTCAAGGTCTTTCTGATATGCCTGGTTGTGTGCTTTCTCCATTTCTTGGAGTTGTTGCTTGTGTTCCCTTCTTTGTTGTACATTGATTTTGTTTATGCTCTAAGCATCCACACAGTGTGCATAGTGAGTTTTGTGTCTTCATAGTATATTTGTTGGAGATGGGTGCCCAGTAGCACTGATGTTGGTAGCATTTGGCCTATAGGTGCCAAGATACAGAGCCTTGCATACCGACCTCTGCTAGCTTGGGTCGTGCAGTTATCGATTTTTAGGAGTGTTCCCAGCATCTGACCAATCCTTATTAGAATTTTGATGTCATAAAACTCAGTCGATAAGTCTTGCAATCATATCCATATTGTGGCGATAAGTGATTTAGCCTCGTATGGGTTGAATTTTGGCTCCCATTGTCTTACTGATAAATATTGCGAACCAATAGACCATGGCCCCTGTTTCAGAGCTTTAGTGTAATTATCTTGTGAACTTAATTTTATAAGATAGAAATCATTACCCATATCTATTAGATTTAAAGCTTCTGATGACCTCCATAGCCTATGTATTTTGTCCTTTAGTTGATCATATCCTAACCTTCTCCCAAGCAGCTTGATGATGGATTGCTTCCATGGTTGATATAATCTTTCTTTGTCCTGTGCTGAAATAGGAATGAAGTTTGGGTGATTTTTTGGATTTGTGTTTTCATCATCAAGAGATATTTTGCTGAAAGACTTGCAGTCAAAGTCCAATGGTGTACTAGTGTTATCAGAAGAGATCAATTTTTCCTTGAAGCTGTCTTTTCCGTTTCTCTTCCTTTGGCTTGCTTATGCTGCTCAGTAGTTGGTCTGCTTCTTCATCATTCATAACTGTATCGTTCATTTCTTGGGAGAAATTCAAAAATAGCCAGATTTACAAGTGGTAATTGAAAAATAGCCACAGTTTCAAAAGTAATAAAAATTTAGTCATTTTTCATGTAAAGATAAATCTGAATGAAAATATTGTTCAAAATCCGGAAAAATATTCCAGCATAATATACAAGAGTTCCAGTATAATATACCGGTCCAACATAATATATTGGAAGTTCAAACACAAGTGCTCCAATCTCCAGTATATTGTGCTGGAACTTTCCGCGTGTTGGAGTTCCAGCATAATATGCTGGAAGTTTATACACAGGTGCACCAATCTCCAGTATATTATGTTGAACCGGTTCGTATTGCAGCAAAATAGTGGCTATTTTTTAATTGACTTTGCAAACGCTGGCTATTTTTGAATTACCAGCCCAAAAACTGGCTAGCCCGTGCTATTTTTACTCATTTCTTCCATTTGATTTTATTTGTTTATCTCTCTCTACTTTTTTAGAGAGAAGGCAGAGAAAATAAACTGCATATCGAACTTACATTCGTAGTGCATTACATTGATCGATAATGTGCTGACCTACATAACGCCAGCACTATTATAAATATATTCAATTCCCTACACCTCCAGTCAGGGAAAAAAATTAATTTCTCCAAATCCAAAGTATTCTTCTCCAAAAATGTTCCCATAAACATATAAGATTGTTTAACTAGTGCTCTAAACATCTGTCAGTCCGCCAATTTTGGTAAATAGCTTGGCTTTCATCTATCAAACCACTTCCCCAAAGGCAAGGATTACCAATTCATCATCGATAAAATGAACAACAAACTATCAGGTTGGAAAGAAAAAACTTTCAACAGAAGAAATACCTTTATACACTCAGTCCTGGCCACCATCTCTAACTACTCCATGCAAAACAATCTCCTACCAACCTCCACTAGGAATCACATAGACCGTATTCAACGAAATTTTCTTTGGGGATCAACCCCCGAAAAAAGAAAATCCACCTTGTTAACTTGGAGACAGTAACCACACCAAAATCACTTGGGGGACTGGGACTATATAAAACTAATGATAAAAATTATGCAATGCTAGCAGGGTTACTATGGTGTTTTCATATGAGTGCAAACTCCTTGTGGACAAGAATTCTTCAAGAAAAATATGTTCAGCATAGACGACTAGGGTGCCATCTGATTCATACTTATGGAAAAGTATGACCAAAGCCACTATCCTCTTCCAACCAGGCTTCTCCTGGAACATATGAGATAGAACAAACATCAACCTCTGGACTGATAATAGAATACCAAATCATAATTGTCTCCGCAACTCCATTCAGGGTCTCTTACACCACATGGAGAAACAATTAACAATATCATCAATTATATCTAACCATTCTTGGTTTCTCAACAGATTATGTTTGTCCTTACATCCTGATACAATAGAACAAATTAACCATATTTACATCTCATTCTCAACCCACAAACCAGATCGATCATTCTGGAACCAAAGACGACCCGAAGACTAAAACTTCATCCATGAACACCTCCACGAATTTCTCCACCATGTTGGTGAAGATGGCCATCATACACCCTCAAAAAGTCGTTGGTGCATTACATAACCCGAATGGCATCAGGCAAATGTGCCACAGACACAAGTAAATGTAGTCTTTTCCTGGTCTTCTGGCGCTATCACTATTTGATTGTAACTAGAGTAAGCATCAAGAAAGCAATAATGTTCATGCTCGGCTAGCCTGTCCAACATCTGATCAATGAGAGGGAGAGGGAAGTGGTCATTGCGCGTAGCATTGTTGAGTTTCATGTAATCAATGCATACCCTCCAACCCATCACCGTTCTGGTAGGTATCAACTCATTTTGCTCATTTTCCACAACTGTCATGCCTCCCCTTTTCAGCACGCACTGCATAGGACTCACCCAGTTGCTGTCAGAAATAGGTAATATGATCCCCGCATCCAGCCATTTGATAATCTCCCTTTTTACCACCTCCTTCATAATAGGATTCAATCGTCTTTGTTGCTCCACACTTGGTCTGTGTCCATCCTACAGGAATATTTTATGCATGCAAAATGATTGACTAATTCCCTTGATATCGGCAATAGTCCAACCAATGGCTCCTTTGAGTTCCCTCAGAACCCGCAGCAACTTGTCCTCTTGCACATGTGATAATGAATATGAGATGATCACATGTAAGGATTCTGACACACCTAAGTATGCGTATCGCAGATGAGAAGGTAAAGGCTTGAGATCCAACCTTGGAGCCTCCTCAATCGATGGCTTAGGTGGTGTCAATGTCAATGGCCTGTCGAAATCCTCAAATCTCTTCAACCCCTTGACGTATTTGCATGTCATGTTCAAAACTTGTACAATTTCTTCCATCAGCTCATCCTACTCTTCTTCTTCGTCAATTAAAACTCTTCCCAAAGAATCTTCAGATACCAAGTATGGTGTTGTGCCTGCAAATTCATCATCTACAATTGTGATCATTGCCAAATCTTCATTGTGTGTTGGCAATTTAAGTGCTCGATATACATTGAAGACCTCCATCTTGTCACTCACTCTCAGGGTCATTTGTCCTTCACATACATGATTAATTGCGTGACCCGTGGCTAGAAATGGTCGTACCAAAATAAATGGGAATTCCTGATTAGGCTCGTAATCCAAGATGACAAAATCAGCTGGGAATATGAGTGTGCCCACTTGGACCAGCACATCTTCAATGACGCCCTCGATGCTGGCTAATGATCTATCGGCCAATTGTAATACCATCATAGTCAGTCGAGGATCTCCCAAACCTAGCTGTCGAAATACAGACAACAGCATCAGGTTTATGCTTGCCGCAAGATCACACAATGCTCGCCCAACCACATGTTTCATAATTGAAATTTGAATTGTGAAGCTTCATGGGTCTTTCAATTTAGGAGGCAACTTATTTTGAATTCTGGAACTACACTCCTCAGTGAGTGCTACAGTCTCGAACTCAATTAGTTTGCACTTGTTTGCCACAATTTCCTTGATGTACTTTGCATACTTTGGCACTTCTTACAGAATATCCACCAATGGAATGTTAATCTGTACTTGTTTCAAAATATCAAGGAACTTCTTGTACGCTGCATTATCTTTCACTTTCTGCAATCTCTGAGAAAATGGAGGGGGTGGCTTCGCAACTATTGGTTGTGGTTGCTTTGCCATGGCCTCTTCAATTGGCTTTTCTAACTCCTTTGCAATTTCCGATTCGACTTCTGTGGTGGGTTGTTTTTCATTAAATGTCACTTGCTTTCTCTTCTTCAATGGGACGTCTTATAATTCTCTATCATTCCTCAATGACACAGCATTAATAGTGGTATTAGGATTAGCCTCAGTGTCGCTAGGTAATGCTCCCGTTGGTCTGGTGTTCTGGGCACTAGCGAGTTGCCCTATCTGTCGCTCTAAATTTCGAATAGCAGTAGTTTGATTCTCATTATCAACCATAATCTTCTTGAGCATATCCTCAATATTACCCATCGGATTTGCAGACTGATCTGCTTGTTGTGGGCGAAACTGCTGGTATTGGCCTTGTGGTTTGAACTGATTCTGATTACCCTGATTTTCTCCCCATGAGAAATTTGGGTGGTTCCTCCAATTTGGATTATAAGTATTACCATACTGATTCTGATTAGCTTGACCTCTATTTGCATTCCCCACAAAGTATACTGACTCTGGATTCGCTGGACAGGCATCACTGGCATGACCCTCGCCGCAGACTTCGCAAAACACCTGCACTTGTTGTACTAGTTGAACATGTTGCATTGGTGTGAACTGTTGTTGGTTCTGGGTCACATTCATCTTGCTGATTTGATTTGCTAAAGATGCTACTTGTGTAGATAGTGCTGATATAACATCCAATTCAAGTACCTCGGCAGCTTTATGGGTTGTGTGTCTACCTGCTTCCCCTTGCCAATCTGGGTTGCTTTTGGAAAACTTGTTCAACAACGCGTAAATTTCATCAAAGCTCTTTTCCAATACTTGACCACCAGCTGCTGCGTCTACCACTATTTTTGTTTCAGGGTGCACACCTTCAATAAAGGTGTAAGCTAGTACTTCGTTGGTTTGGTTATGATGTGGACAGTCTCTTAGTAGCCCCTTGAATCGCTCCCAAGCTGCATAAAATGATTCACCTTCTCTCTGTTTGAATACAACTATCCCACTTCTTATCTTTGCGGTTTTACCAGAGGGAAAGAACCTAGCCAGGAATTTGCGAGCCAAATCATTCCACGATGTAATAGAGTTAGCTGGCTCAGACTTCAGCCATCTCTTGGCCTCTCCCAACGGAGAAAAAGGGAATAATGTGAGCCTGACATAATCAGATATGACCTCGTTAGTGATATAGGTATCACTAATCTCCATAAAATTCAGAATATGTTGTTGGGGGTCTTCGTGTGGCAGTCCCATGAACTGTCCATTTGGATGAAGTAGCTGGATCATGCTCTGCTTAAACTCAAAATACCTAGTGATCCTAGGCTTAACAATACTTGAGGTGATATTAGCAATGCTGGGCATAACTACCTCTTGTACCTCCAAGGGTGTTCTTCCGCCATTTCCACGGGAAGTTGGATGAGTGCTTATAGATTATTTGTTTCTTGAGCTTCTCTCAACTTTCTACGAAATGCTCTCTCAGGTTCTGAGTCAAAATCTTGTAGTCTATCCTGGCTTCTAGCTCGTCGCATTCAAGCAAAGTACCTGAGATCGAACACCCAGTCAAAAAGAAGATTAAAAAAATACTAAACTCGATGAGTAGTAAAAACTTAATGTAGTAAGATAATCAATTTCTAAGTCCCCGGCCACGGCGCCAAAAACTTGTTGCCCAAAATCGCACACGCAAGTATACACGGTCAATCAAGTAATAAAGAGTGAGTAGAGTATCGTTCCCACGAGTACTTGTAATTAATTATCAACTAAATCAAGCGAATTCTAATTTATCGAGTCAAGAACAATTTCAAGGTAGTTTTTGTTTGATTAATTCTACTAATTATAATTGCAAGTAAACGAAAAACTAATGAACTAGCACACTCAACACGAAGGATTTTAATTCAATGAAAAATAATATTCCAGGGTCATGGTTATGTAACAATCCTGTTGAATTCTTCAATCAACTCGATTTATTAATTTATCTGGGTTATTAACCTGCAAGGACAATAATACTCGTATAAATTTGACAACTTCTACTCGCCTATTCAATTTATTCTAAACCCTATATTTCTATGAGATTAGAGATAAAAAGAACGCATTAACAATCTCTTGCACAATTGGCTAAACACGGCAAATGAGTATAGTTCTATTTGTATTCGCAAATCAATTTCTCAATGACCAGGTTCAAGATCGCGCTCTATTCACTCCTATTGCAATCAAGAATTACCTCTTTCAAGTTCGACTCAAGATTCATATATAGTATTTCACTGTTAGCTATGCAGTAAAATAATTAAACTCAAGATATGAATAAACAACCCAATATGATAAATTAACTCGTCAAATCAATATTCGAATATCAACATTCATGTAAAACCATAACCCCAGAACAAACGAGTTTAGCCACGCATAGTCATGGTAGCAATCTCAATTAATTTCCAAGAATACATAAAAATCAATAAAAGTAGGGAAAAGTAAGAACTCAAGACGAATTCTGTGGTTTTCAAACTCTGTGATGGCTTTTCTCCGCTTCCCCGTGTGTTAGATGACCTAAAGAGATATTTTTGGCTTATATATTGCGTACAAAAGTCATGGGCCAAAGTTTTCCTTTTCCTAGTCCAAATCAGCTTTAGGGATTGATGTTGGGGTGGATGTTTCACGTCCGCCTCAGCTTCAACTTCCCATCATCGCATGCTAGGGTGGATGCTTCGCATCCACCCTTTGTTCCTTCATCTCTGTTGTGCCCAGGTGCGGATGCCTTAGCCCGACTTCACTGCTAAGGGTACACCAAATACAATTTTTCTTATGTTGGATGCGACGCATCCACCGTCTTCTCATATAGCTGGAGCATCTTTTCTTCATATTTTTGCACTCCAAACACCCTAAATCATCACACACAACTCAATTAGTCATAAAACCAATAATTAACACATGTTGGGCATTTTTAACACCAAATAGCACCAAAAAGTGGTTAATACATGGGTAAAGTAATATTAAAATATATAAAAATATGCCCAACATCAATACCCATTAATAATTAGTTACTATTGCAACACCTAGTCCGCATAAGATTATTAATTATAGACTCCTCATGCCTTAGAATATTTTGCATATAATGGTTAAGGAATTATATTGCAAGATTAGCAAACAAAGCATTTCCATTCACAAAAACTTGTTCCAAAAAATTCATCGCACAGACTAGCTGAACTAGTAGTGCTTCTGTAAAATAACAATTAGTATTAGCGAGGAGGGAAAGATGATTAATGTAAATGCGAAGCAAATGAATTAATTCTCACGTGAAATGCTTTCAATATTCTCACATGCATTATTTTGAAAATAACTTGCCGCGCTTACCTTTAATTAAACTTGTGTAACTTTATTACCCAAGCTTGTAGAATAAGTAATTAACAAGTGGTTATCTCGTTAATTGAATCATGTGCCAGTAGGAATATAACAAGAAGAATAATGTTAGGATTTCCAGGGTATCAGCTACGACGAAGCAAAATTATAATTAAGAATTGTCGAAGATGACTTTTTAAATAGTTAGTCTACTCACTAGAACAATATAAAGATAAACCACAATAGTGTTCAAAAATGTACATTTCAAACATTAATTCAACACATAGAATACTAATGAGAAAATTTACAAAGTTCAACTAAAGCTTTATTTGATTGTAAATCCTAGCTACTAGCCAGCTGAAATCCTAACAACTTGAGAAAGTGTACAATTAAAAAGAAAATATGTGCTGATTTTTCAAGAAGTGAACTATTATATTTCAAATACTATTGATCAGGTTGACATTCTTATATCACATGCATCTTACGAAAATATTAGTGGATCCAAAATCAGGTGCAATTTTATTTAGAACAACTAGCGAGCACAATTCATGATATGGTACTATCTTATGGCAAGATATTTGAGTAAACAAAAAAAAAAGGCAGTCTAAATACACAAGGTATCCCATGTTCATGCAAGGCTAGGGAAAGGGCCACACCCCAAAGAGTACGATGTAGACAACTTACCCTAATAAAAATATTAATCGTTAATTCTACGGTTTAACCCCACTAATAGTTGCATTAGGATATTTGAGTGCATTCAAGAGTTTAGGGAGGTGTGGGGGTGAAAGGAACTTTAAATAGGTTGTATTATTTAAGAAAAGGTCAACAGCAGCAAGCCTTGAACATAAAAAATAAATTACTGTAAAATTTAATAAAGGAGAAAAACAAAAGAAAAAACAACTACAGCACATGTTGGAGAGGAGTTCACAATTAATGTGAGGCCTATAAATTATGGCTATTGGAAGGCAAAGAAATATTCACACAAAAAAATTCTGAAAGCGAAGGATTATTCCTATTATGGCGTTGCTTAAGCTTTGTTCTATCTTCGCTATTCTTTTCATGGCAATCACTAGTTAGTATCTATTTCTACTTGTTTCTAAATTCTTATTCTACATTATTATGCTTGCAATTATGTGTTTATATACATACATATAGAATGAAAATAACGTCACGTGTTTTTTTTTATGTTATACCAGTCATAATTTGATAATTATTATTATGATGATGAAATATTTCAGTCAATATGTCGTGGATCTCAAAGACACAAGTCCTAGCTACACTGGATATTAATCATGAGCTCAAGAGGAGATTATTCCCTAAAATTAATAGTATTATGACTTGCTATAGTCGTTGTACTTCGGATAGTGATTGCAGTGATTGTTGGGTGTGTTGTAGTTGTACATATGACATTGTGGATAATATATATATGTGTAAGATACGCGTGTGATTTCGTCTTTGCTTATTTCTTCGTCAACATACTTTGTACGAATAATGAAGAAAAACTAGCTAGTAAGTAGCTTTCTATTCAAGAACACTAATGTATTCCACTGCAAAGGCTGGTTGGACTGCCTTTTTTGTACTTGTATGATTCATCATACATTTACTGAATTTATTTATCAAAACTTATCTATGTTAAGTTCCTTCTCCTTGCTCCTTATTACGTATTATACTGAGTCCTTTTAAATTATCAGCTGAATTAAGCAAATTTAGTCGATTTATGCTGAGTCAATTAAACAGACTAATTCAGCAATTGCACAGAGTTGGTAATGCAGATTTAAACAAGTGTAAAGTACAAAAAATAATAAATTGCATTTAATGTTAATAAGGATAAATTTTTATAATCGGCAAGCCAGTGTCTGAGTCTTCTTAAATTACAAGGGAGTTTTATTATGAGCTCCCAGCGTTGGAATCAGGACTTTCACTGAAAGGGTCATGATATAAAGAAGTAAATTCATGAAAAAGTTAATGGATGTCAATACATAGTATATGTATACATTGCAAAAAAGAATTACCTACATATACAGTGAAATTTTTCAAAGAAGGAATGTCGGTTGAGTGTTTGACTCCCCTTGAATACATGTGGCTCCGCCACTGACTATAGCTGATGGTTTTCTAGAGTTCACCACTAACACTTCGGTGTTGGTCTTTCCTCTCACCAATTACAAGGATCAAATTAGTTTTCACTCATCCACCAACAACGATTTTGCACAGTTGTTTTTCCCTCGTTATATATCAGCAATAATACCACAATTCTTCTTCCTTATAACTTGTTCTAACAAAGAGGTAAACTCTTACTTGAATATAGTACAATGAAGTAATTTTTGAGAGCTGTGTTTGAGTCTTGGGTTCTTTACTTTCTAAGATATTTGTGAGGAAGGATAAAAGTTTGGTAGACAAATGATTGCAAAACATATGCAAAAAGGCAAAAGGTTATGAACATCATTCTTCATACCCAATTCCTTACATGCCAAAAGTAGCCACTCTAATTTCCATGGAGACTTGTTTCATTGTCTTTCAAGTTCAGAAAGCAAAAAAAAAAAACTATTTTTAGGTTCAAGATGGGAGAGTATAATCCAGCCTTGAGTTCACATTACTGCAACAATAAGTAAATAAATAAATAATTGTCCAATAAATAGTTCACGCGGATTAATGTAGCTAGTATGACTCTATAAATGAGTAGCAAATGCATCAATTCTCGAATAAAATGCTTTCGAAAATAACATGCCGCGTTTACCTCTAATGTAACTTTATTATCCAGACTTGTAGAATAAGTTGCTCTAGTGATGAACACCCTCAACTTTCAACCAAGAGGTTGAGTTCGAGTCACCCAAAAAGTAAAGTGGGAGTTCTTGGAGGGAGGGAGCCGAGTTTCTATTGAAAATAGTCTTTCTACCCCAGAGCATCGGTAAAGATTAACAAGTAGTTAATTCATTAATTGAATCATGTGCAAATTATGATTAGGAACTAACAATCATATGTATACTATATACAATATATATATATATATATATATATATATATATATTAAATAGACT